GCTGTTTTCCTCCTTCAGGGGAATCTTTCCGACCCAGGGATTGAACCCACGTCTCCTGCATTGGTAGGCAGATTCTTTACCAATAGCTCCACTTGGGAGCCCCATAGAGCACAATAACTGCTATCAAAGGGTTTAGAAGTGGAGAAACTTGGATCAAATCCCAGTTCCACTGCTTGCAGCCCTGCTACCTCAGGCACGTCACTTAGTCTCTCTTAAGCTGAATTTCCTCATCTGTAAAGTGTGGTTTGTGTAAAATAATAAATGAATACATGGGAAACCCGTACTTAGCACAATGTTTGACACAAAGCAAGTGTTCAATAGTACCAGTGAGTGTTTTTTTTCTGGGAAAATATTACATTTCTAGTCATTTAACCCTGGAGATGGAATTTGAGACACAGAGGTTAAGTCCAGGCTCTTACAGAAACACCTTCCAGGGCTTTTGCAAGGATTCAGTGTATTAAAACAAAGCACCAGAGGAGCGCCTGACACATCATTTGTAAACCCTTTGATAGCAGTTATTGTGCTCACCAGTGTTGACGTGCATCTGCGCTTGCTTAGGTGGGCGCGTCAAGCATACCTGGGCTCTGACAAGGCCCCTGGAAGGACAGCCCACCTGTCAGCGATGCGGGCCTTTGTTCTATCAGGTGGGGGCTGGCAGCAGCTTAAAGCCGCTGTGTCTTCTCCCCAGGGTCCGAGCGGTCAGCTCACAGATCTGCCCAGTATCTCCAGCGGGGAATCTGTGTGTTGTGGTTGAGCCAGGGGCTAAGAGCCGCCTGACACGGTGCAGAGTACACGGGTATGAAAGCCTCTCTGGGGAGACTGTTCACAGCTTAGATCCTCAGAGAGGTCATTCACCCTCAAAATACTGGACATCTCAGCTCTAGAGGCTCTTCTGTCCTTCCGGTTTATCTCCTCCTCGTGCCGTTTGGACTGAGAGATAAAGGTGTTTCCCATGTTAGCATTATGATTAAAGTAGGAGTCAACAGTACCTGAAAAGGCCCGCTGGGCTCTCCTTTGGCAGAGAGGGTGAGCTTCAGAATGAACAACCCTATGGACTCCTTTTTGCTGCCCAGTGGTCTGCTTTTGCATCCTGGCCTTTAGCTGTTTGCAAAATCTGGATGACTACACAAGTGATCACCCGTGAAGTGAACTGGTTTTCACCGTGTCCATGCTGGGTCTGCAGACCATGGATCCTGGGCCCTGTGTGCGTGCTCCATCCTAACCTGTGGGTTTGGGTGCATCAAAGAAATTCTCACACTGCACCCAGGAGCAGACAGGGGCGGTCAGCCTTGTCTGGTGACCTCCAGTGACACTGTCTAAGGAGATCACCTGCTCTTCCTCGACAGACGTTTTCTCATCCTGGTCCTTCTAACAGTCACATGTACGACCAAAAGCGTCAACGTTTAAGGGTGGGACTTCCCTCATGAACATGGCTGTGTGTAGTCTTTAAAGGAAAAAAAAAAACAATCCCAACAGAACTGCAATCACTAAGCTAAATCTTTGTCTCAAATTTAATTTTTTAATCACCTTCCTCTCTTAGAAGTCAAAGGCACAGAAGAGGATTCACCCAAACTGTGAAATATTCTCTGGCTGATCCAGTTCTAGGAGGGCCTTTGGAAAGGACTCAGGGAGTGACCCGGAGCCTGACTTGACAACACCCTTGGAAATTCGAGGGCAGGCAGAAAGTGAATTCTGGAGCCCTTTGGGGCGTGTACAGATTCACCACGGGGCACCGACTTTGCCTGTCTGAAGGCTGTCTCCCTCTGCCCACTGCTCACAAGCTCACTGGACAGCACCCAGCCTCTGGCCGGGCCCGCGGAGGCCGCCGGGCCCAGGGCAGCTGGGACCAGGGGGAGTTAGCCTGTGTCTGCAGACGGCCCTTCCCCCGAGCCTCTCACCACAGGGATTCGGTGACTCACTCTGAATAAGGCACCATAAATTTCTTCCTAAGAGCACACTTGTCACTGAACCATTCCAACAATTTGGCAGGACCAGAGATCTGGCTCAGGGCAGTGGGGCCAATAGGTAATCCCCTGTTTATAATGTGCTTCCCTCTCAGGGCTGGAGGCGGGTGAGGACCCTCCAGTCATTGTCACACATTCCAGTTAGAGCTGGAATGCTCACACCCACTTCACAGATGAGGGCTTGAGTGACTCAGGCCCTCAGGCAGCACTGGGGAGGCCCGCAG